GGGCTCTCTCTCGTCTGTGTTTTTGTGTGTTGTGGGAGCATCGGGCTGCGTGTCCGTGCCTGCTTTCTGTTTAAAAGCATTTCTGTTTTCCTCTACAAGTGTTGTCTGTGGTGTCCACACGAGCCGCTGGCAAAGCAGAGGGGGTGATATGAGCCCCTGGTTGTGACCCCAATTTCTACCGTACCTGAGCTGCCAGGCCTTCTAGTCCGGATCTTTATCTTCAGTTTATTCCTCGTTCTCCTTCTTCCTCTGAGCTTGACAGGGAAATGTGGGTGCAGTTTCGTTTCGATCAAGGCAGTGCCTGTAAACGCGATATMATGCTTCCATCCAAACAAATAAACTCACTCTCACAACTGTGCCACCTCTTTCCAGGCTGAACTCAATTTCTAACTTGTTGGTGTCCCTGCCTGACAGTCTGTCCAGCTCTCCGTCCGTCTGTCTACCTTTGGGGTGGGCCTTGCTGGGAGAGGCAACCCAGGTCGGATTGTCGGGTATATGTCCAGTCTTATTCAGTTTGTTTGGGGTCAGTTTGCCACCCAATCCTCCCTCTCCCCCGGATTCTTTCTTATTTGAGTACTTAGATAAAGCAAATCTCATTATCCTCCTGAGCAAATCAAAACCCAATCACAGTACTCAAAATTCAGAAAGTTTCTCTCAAGAAAATATATTTTTATTTATGTACACCAACACAGATCCAGAAAAAGCTCTCGAGCTGCGCCAGCGTGTAAATGAAGAGTCAACTCCGGTTATGTAAAAAGAGATAACATTGATCTCATAGGCAAATGTGAAATAGGTTACGGGTTTATTGTTGCTTGGTTTGTTGTTGGGGATTTTTTTTTCGCCGGAAAGAAACATGAACTGATTTATGAAATCGTTTTTTCAACCCCCTCCCGCGGTTTCTCCCTGTTCTGTGATGGATCTGGGCAATCTCCAATTCTGGGATCAGGGCTAGAGGACCAGAAGAGTTAATGCCGCCAACCTAGCTGTGTTTCTGTGCACRCATGTTCTGGAACATGGCAACACGCTGAAGAAAAGGTGTTCTCTGAAAGGACGAGAGAGTTTACCCGGCAAACGGTGCAGGAGGGAAACTGCAGAGATGCCAGCCCCGGAAAGTTTGTTCTGTATCTCTTTACAACGATTATTTGTAGGGAGATTTGCACGAAGACTGAAGGGGTTGAGCTCTTATTGCAGCTCCGCTCGGGTTTACGGCCTCAAACCGTGGGGGACGGTGCTGTAAAGCTCCGAGAGATGCTGACACACCAGCTTTTCACGCTTCACACGGTGCCACCGAGGTGTCTTCTCTCCAGCGAGGTTTTGGGACTTGTGTGTGGTGACAGCCTCTCGGGAAGAGAGAAGGGTTTGCTAAATTTGTTTTCCAATGCCGACGTTTAAAACGAAAAGGCTTCGCCTTTGAAGAGTGGTTTTTAAACCGCACCGAGCAGACCTGGAAACCAATTCGCCAGGGATCGGTCGTGAAATCTAAAGASGGAATGGGGAGCCTGCAAATCTTTGCAGCCGCGACGAGAATTAATCGCACAACACCGGCTAGACGGCGTCCGCCCGAGCTGCGAGTTTAAAAATCAAAAGAGCGAGTAAAAACTCGATGCGAAAACCAGAGAAGACACAGCTACAATAAAARCGGGTCAGAAAAGCCCGCACAGCTCAGAGCGGAGGGGAAAGGTGTGACCTGGAGGTGTCACATCTTCCAGGGGATGGAGAGGGCGAGGTTGTGGCCGTGAAACGGRGCTGAGAMTCTCTGAGCTCCACCGMGAMTGCAGCRGCATCGGGAGGGGAAAGATCGMCCCCAGACCCGCAGAGAAAGGCCCRGAGCCCCTGSCCCAGCCGTGCTCTGCTTTTTGCTCCTCCTGACCCCGTTCGGCCTTTTTGGCTGCTGGAGAGGAGATGCGGGGCTTTTCTTGCTTTGCCGAGCAGACCACAAAGAGCTGCGATTTCTTTTCCGCGGCTCTTTGGGTGATTCCTTCTCCCTGTTTGCTTTCTTATGCTTGTTCATTAACTTAAAAAACTTTCTGTTRCCGCGGCTCCAGCTACATCTCCTGRCACGGAAGAATCCCGCTCGGCTTTTTCCCTTTGGCAGGAAACCACCCTGCCAAAGGGGTTTATTCTCTGCTCCAAGTTCAAAGGCGCAGTCCTGAAGTAGTTAAGGGGGCAAAAGGGACAAGTGTGGGGGAGGCAGCGGGTCAGGAGCGCGGGGTTAAAGCCATTAGAGCCTCCGCCTTTTCGGGATCGCCCTTTGGGGCCTCAGCATTTCCCTGCGGGCACCGTCCCGAGAGGCTTGAGGGACACGGGGTGAGGAGGGGAAATATCCTGGTGTTTCTCCATTTTTCTGATGGCCACCGAGAGCCCAAAGAAGCGACTTCAAGCGCGGTTTGAGGAGAGCGTTGTTTTTCCAGCCCTCTCCGCTCCCTTTTTGGGATCCACGATGCCTGGGGTACCGGGGCAGGCACATCCTACTAATAACGGAATAAAAATTTATTCTGCTTCTCTCCATCCACTGTGAGCCCGAGGGTGCTGCTGGTGAAATCTTCCCTCGCCGCCGCCCTTTTCTCCTTCCCTCAAAGTTATTGGGTTCCACTCTGCTGCTGTGTTATACGGGGCATGTGCTGGGTTAGAAACCYCTATAAAAGAATAAAGACTTAGTGGCAGCCCGCGCCTGAAACTCGTTTACCTGCGAGTTGTAACACAGTCCGCAGACGCCGTTTAGAAGCGACGGGATTTGGGCTTTGTAGAAAAGACGAGCCTCCCACTATTTCTATTTGATCGAAAGAATAAAGCCGTGTAAGGTGTTTCCTGTCTACTCGAGATTTTGTGCGGCAMTTTAGGCAGGTTATTTCTTTGGAAAACAGCCACGGAGCCCATTGTCTTTATCTGATGCTTGAAAGATCGGGGAGGAGAGGAAGAAGAAAAATCATTGTTAAAAAACACTTTGAAGTGCAACAGTTGCTGCTCCAATTTTTTTCCCCCCCAGTTTCCAGATGCACCAGAAATCGTTACTTTGATCTCACAAAGCAGCAATTTATATTTTTTTTTTTTTTTTTTTTAAAAAKTGGTTTGGTAACTCGACGAGAAATGGCAAACATGCCGGGGATGAGGTCATCGGGCCGCGCGGGGAGGGGCAGCGAGAGCCGAAAGCGCAGAAATGAGACAGAGAAGAAGGACGGGGCTTTTTCCCCAGACAAACGTGGTTCCCGGAACATCTGCTCAGGGCTAATCTCACATCCCCGCCCGTTCTCAAGGCAGAAATCTGCCGGTGCACAGGGGGATGACAGAGCGGGCGATGGGACCCTCCTGGGGCTGGCGGAGAAAGGAGCGCACATGTCGGGTTCCGAGGAGCCAAAGAGCTTTTAAAAACGGCGGCTGGGGCCGTGGGAGGGCCAGGACACGGCTTGACAAATGGTCCCGACCCAACATCGTCAGAGCGGGAGAATCATAGAGTCAAAATTCCGAGTGGGAAGGAACACGCGAGGATCATCGAAGTTCAGTTCCTTGCCCTGCACACGACAGCCCCATGAATCACAGCATTTCCCTGAGTACCCTGTTCCAACCACCTTCCTAAWGTCCAACATAAACCYATTCTGAACAGCTTCAGGCCGTTCMCTCGGGTCCTGTCCCTGGCCACCAGAGAGAAGAGATCAGTGTGTGCCTCTTCGTAGTATGACATCCCTCTCCTTTCACCGCTGCATGGCCACCCCTCTCTGAGCGCTCCTCATAAATCAGCTGCCCCGTATAAAATCATGACCCTCACGCGTTTCTTGCGATGGTCCCATCTCAGGGATAGGATTCATGACTGAAGGCAGCGCCCTGTGTTTGCTGAGCCCTCCGGGGCTGCTCTCTCTCGTTTGCTCCCTCCTTGCCCGGAGGAGCCTGGACTGGTGTCCCTGTCCCCAGGGTCACGGCCACCGCCGGGCCCGTGGTGATGGCAGGGACGGTGTTAAAATCGGCCAGACGGGAGCAGCGGGCTGACAGCTTTGTCCCTCGGGTCACCCCCTTCCTGACCGAGCCACAGCCACCTGCCTAATGGCCCGACTCCTGGGACAGAGCCACCCGTGCGGAGGTCAGCAGTTTATTTTSCTAAGGAAAATCAAATGGGAGGAAGGGTAAGGGGAGCGTGTTTGTSCGGTGGAGCCGAGAGACGCTGACCCCATGGCTCTCCCTCTGMAAACACAGGCCCGTGTTGAATCAGCGGCGTTGGCTGCTGGTGATCATTTTACTGAGCAGCCACTGCCGCTGCCTGGCTCTGCCATTCCAAACATTCCGACCCGGATCGGCCTGCTGACCCTACAGACCACGCAAAGTGTGAAGAGACTCTCCCCGAACTGCTACAAGTGGCTCTCCCCTGGGAAATGAGACCCGAGTGACTCGAGGGTCCCTTCCCTTATTTTTAAAAGGGAAGAAATGCGTGGGGAGCAGGGAGAAGCGACAGAAATGAGATGCTGACACTGAGTAGTGGCAGGGAGACATCAACAATCGGTGCCTATAGACCACATCAAAGCGCTGCAGAGCAACAATAAAATGCCTTGAAATACTTAATGCAATGTTTGCGTTGGGCAAGTCCGCAGATTTTGCCATCACAGGAGAAAGAAAGCAGCAGATGAGGTTTAACCAACATTTCTCTGAAACCCGACTATCGAGAGGAAAGAGAGGAAGGGAGAGAGAGAGATTTTTATGATCCTGAAAGGCAAGAGGAGAAACCACATCAACGCAAAGTGAGTAAAATGCGGCAGGGCAGGATTACCGAGGCACAGGCGGATCTTAACAAATAGACCAATGTGCCACAAAACATCTGTAAAAAAGAAAACTTCCAGTCAGGATGGCTGCGGAGGCACTTCTGACTCAGAGGCTATTGCTTGGCCCTGCTGTTTTAGAAAAGGCCGTACTTGTTCCCTTTGTGCCCCCATTCCCCGGGAGACATGGGGCACCCACAAACTGARTTTTCTCCGGAAAACTGGAGAGCTTTTCTGGGCAGGACGGCTCTGGTACGGATGGTGAAGAAGGAAAACGGGGCTGAACTTGTGTGCTGGCGAGGGGAAAACCTCCGGGTTCCGGTCAGTCTGTGCCAAACGAACAGTCACACTCGGATGGGCGCTTAATTGCTATTGTGTTTTTGTTTTGYAAAGGCAGAACTCCTACTCGCTGAGCGCGGCTGCAGTGTGGCACMGGCTGGCTTTGTCTGGTTTCTGTCGTCATTGTGGCCCCGCCTGACTCCAGCCCAAAGCCAGCAGCACCTATTTAGCATCCGCCACCCCCGCACGGGAGCAGGGCTGGATTTAGGCGGTGAACACCCCTGTGCCCCGCAGAGAGTGTCCCTCCCTCCCTCTCTGGCTGCTCCTTCCCGAGGAGATGAAGCCCCGATCTGTGCTGAACTGTCAGACCCCGCTCACAATTTGCTTTGTCGCCTTCCCCCGTGGGCGAGCTGCTGTCCGCTCTGAAATTGTGTCGCTGCCGGCACTGATTTTCCCTAATTTAGAGCCCATTCCCGTGCTGGTTTCACACGGAGCGCTCCGATTGCTGCTCCCACACCTCAGAAGTGCTGCCGGGGTGCTCACCCTCCTCTCCGCTCCTCCCTGCTGAGAGATGTCCCTGCGGACAGGAGCTGGCTGCTGATCACCGCCCGCCTCCAAACATCGCTCTGCGGGAGCCCAAATGCGGCTTTGCGCCCTCGGGCTCCTCCTCTGAGTTTCCACAAGCGGCTCCTTGACCTGGAGCGACTCCGTGGCCGCTGCGACTCCGGGGCCGAGCACAGGGCAGGGAGAGAGGCTTTGGTGCGGGGAAACACCGCACACCCTGCGGGGCTCCTGTGCACAAT